GTTAAAACCCGGCTCACCTTATGCCTGATGCGAAGTATTGTTGCATTCCAATGTACCTTACTGGGCAAGTCATGATATGATAACCCTGTCTCTCGTCTCCCTGGTCTTGATCCTGCCCTGCCAGATCCCGTCCTGTGTGATGCTGCCCTGCCCGATCCTGCCCTACCAGACCCCGTCCTGTGTGATGCTGCCCTGCCCGATCCTGCCCTGCCTGACCCTGCCCTGTATGATGCTGCCCTGCCCAATCCTGCCCTGCCAGATCCCGTCCTGTGTGATGCTGCCCTGCCCAATTCCATCCTGCCCGATCCTGTCCATCTGTGATGCCTCATGTTTCTGTCTCTTGTCCTCCATATTGCTGCAGGACTGACTTCACCAGCCTTCAACCTACCAGGAACCGTGACCCAGACCGGGATTTATGCCTGCTGATTTGATCTTTGTTTGCCTGATCCCCTCAATAAAACCCTTGTCTCCTGCACTTGGGTCTCCTGTCCTCCCTGTCTGCTCATGTGAGACATAAATATCCACCAAAGAATAATTTCTTCCATAATAAAAAAAATGGTGACTGTGTTACTCAGCTGAGAATTGGCTGTGCCAGTAAGACACTTTTCAGGAGAGCCATCAAGCGGCATTTGGCGACGCTAAAGAAGTGACAGGCTTCCATGGACTCACTGTTAATGAGGCAACAATAGCCTGGGTACTTTATAAATCCAGGAGGATAGCAAATAGAAATCCATGAAAGAAAAACTCACATTAGCTTTCAGCTAGTTTGCCAGAAGGCATCCGGGAAATTCTGAGAGCTAAGACCAGAATTGCACTTTCTGCCTCGGCTCTGGTTGTTGTAAGTCTGAGTGCATCATCCCAAGAACACTATCCTTACCATAAAACACGGTGGTGGCAGCGTAACAAGGGGAACCTGCTGTGCTTCAGGAATCTGAAAGCTTGTAAAGGAGACAAAATGGATAGAGGATGGGGCAAGGTATAAACAAATCCTGGAGGAAAACCTTACACCTGGACGCAGAAGTATTTTTTTTTAATTCTAGAAAGACTCACCTACACTTGGGGTGGTTGGTGAAGAAATAGGAACCTTAATTTATATAGCCTGCATGACAATAATTTTTAAACACAANATCCTGCCCTGCCAGATCCCGTCCTGTGTGATGCTGCCCTGCCCAATTCCATCCTGCCCGATCCTGTCCATCTGTGATGCCTCATGTTTCTGTCTCTTGTCCTCCATATTGCTGCAGGACTGACTTCACCAGCCTTCAACCTACCAGGAACCGTGAGCCAGACCGGGATTTATGCCTGCTGATTTGATCTTTGTTTGCCTGATCCCCTCAATAAAACCCTTGTCTCCTGCACTTGGGTCTCCTGTCCTCCCTGTCTGCTCATGTGAGACATAAATATCCACCAAAGAATAATTTCTTCCATAATAAAAAAAATGGTGACTGTGTTACTCAGCTGAGAATTGGCTGTGCCAGTAAGACACTTTTCAGGAGAGCCATCAAGCGGCATTTGGCGACGCTAAAGAAGTGACAGGCTTCCATGGACTCACTGTTAATGAGGCAACAATAGCCTGGGTACTTTATAAATCCAGGAGGATAGCAAATAGAAATCCATGAAAGAAAAACTCACATTAGCTTTCAGCTAGTTTGCCAGAAGGCATCCGGGAAATTCTGAGAGCTAAGACCAGAATTGCACTTTCTGCCTCGGCTCTGGTTGTTGTAAGTCTGAGTGCATCATCCCAAGAACACTATCCTTACCATAAAACACGGTGGTGGCAGCGTAACAAGGGGAACCTGCTGTGCTTCAGGAATCTGAAAGCTTGTAAAGGAGACAAAATGGATAGAGGATGGGGCAAGGTATAAACAAATCCTGGAGGAAAACCTTACACCTGGACGCAGAAGTATTTTTTTTTAATTCTAGAAAGACTCACCTACACTTGGGGTGGTTGGTGAAGAAATAGGAACCTTAATTTATATAGCCTGCATGACAATAATTTTTAAACACAACAATAACACTTAAAATAATAATAAAAAAAAATTCGGTAACGCTTTACATTAACTGCACCTTCATAAAGCATTCATTACGCATTCAGTGCATAATACATTCATAATGCATTTATAGAACACTCATAAGAAGCATGTATCTATACCATAGCATCACAAAATACCTTAGATTAAATTATTATAATGTTTGTTATTATCATATAATATTTGTTTTTAGTGTATATTAAGGCTGTTAAGGTATGATATGATATTAAGGTATACTTATTTGCTTCTTATGAATGCTCTATAAATGCATTATGTAGGGGCACTGAATGTTCTGTGAATGAATTATAAAGGCATCATGAAGGTGCAGTTAATGAAAAGTGTTACCAAATGTTCATTGGTGCTAATTCTTACACTAAGTAATAGATGTCCCAGCCTCCAAGGGGCATCATCTGGAATGTACATCACAGGACAACAATTTGGTGGTATGGATAGCCGGGGCATGGAGCGTGGAAGCAGGGACAGGACTCCAAGCGTCAGGTAAATACAGGGTTTAATCAAAGGCAGGACACGATCAAAAGACAACTACACCACAAATAACGTCAATGACTGGACGGGGAAACATACTCGAACGCGGACTTAAATATACAGGACTAATATAACAACAACTAGACATAGCTGGGAACACCGGAATTCCACACGAGGTAAATGAGGGGGCGTGGCACACGGGAGGATCAGACGAGCAGGGTATGACATTTGGATCTGTCAAGACAATCTAACCAGATTCAGGAAAATTTCCCCTGGTTAAAATTGGGTTTCTAATAATAAAAATGTTTTTGGAAAATTCATGCTATAGCAAAAAAAGCTTAGTTAAAAATGCTATACAGTTCTTTAAAAATTAAACCAATTCATAAAGTTCATATAACTTGTACATATATTTTACTGATTTATTTGTAATAAATGCTAGACAAACAGTAACATAAATTTAAGGCCTCTTTGAATGCCTGTAATAGTAGTGTTCCATATTACATGGCAAGAATTCTCCGTTCGCTGAAGATTATCAGGAACTAACCCCCAGAAGTCAAAACATGACAAACCACGACAGGCATTTTGAAAATCATTTCTTTACTACAGGTTAGTCAATGTACTAAGATTGGTCATATGGTGGCACTAAGGCTCATAAACACATTTTTTGTTTGGCCTAGATGTGAAATTCCTTCCAATTTAGATTACTTGGCTTCAGATGAGAAGATCCCCCGTAGCCCCGGCCATTTTTGCCATGTTGGATTTTCTGCCATTTTGATTTTTCCCCAAAACCTTTAAAAGACATCTTCTCCTAGACTTTTGATCTAAATGTCACTAAATTTGGTACAGTCCTTTGGATTAGTTATAAAGCTGCTTAATTTTCCAAAGAGTACGGTCCCCAGCTTCCAATCAATTTCAGTTGGCATCGTTTTAGGATAGAAAAACAGATTTATAAACGGTAACACAGTGCTTGGTTTCTGTGGAACTTTTGACATGTTTTCTAAGGTCAATGAAGTAGCCACACAGACTATTGCTGTTTTTATTGGTGGTTTACATCTGTAAGAAAAAAAAACTCACACAGCCCGTCTTGTTAGTGGGGGGTGAAACTTGCCGTAACTAGCCAGCTTTAACCAATCAGGTATAAATACGCAGGTTTAGCTTAAGCTGATCATGAAACCTGATAAATGTATCTCAGGACATGAAGGAACTGCAAGTGACCAACAGCTTGTTGCCTGATAATCATGTCATTTCATTTCTACAAACATAAAAAGTATGCATATATATGAAGATATTTTAGGAAATATATATGAAAGAAATGCAGTGCTCAGGTCTTTATATGCCTAGAATTTACTTTTTATTTTGACGTTTTACTGGCTTCCTCATTTTAATTGTGATTTTCCCTTTTTAAGGATATGACTTTTTAATAACGTGCATTTCTGTGAGTCACCACGCGTAACTATGTAGCTAATGCTGTTCCTTATTCGTCAAACCAATTCTTTTTCATATTTACTGGATACAGTGCATGTTCACAAAGTGAAATCCAAAAGTAAGCATCCAACAATGTAGAGAATAGGAAAAAAAATCTGTGAGAGAAGCCCTCAAGCCCTCAAGCACGGTCACTTTGCAAAACTGAAATGTACAATAGCAAACTTTCAAAAACCATTTAAAAACAATTTCTACCTAAACATCTCCAGTGGATACAAGACAGTGTTTTTCCAACATGATAATCCCAACACATTTTACATCTGTTCTCTCTGTAAATAGTAGAAGATATTCAATGATCAACAAACAGCAATGGGATTAACAAGACACCTGTTTCTGACATTGTTAAAATTAGGTCAACATTAAGATCATGTACTTTTATGTACTACAGGTAAAGACAACTATAAACAAACCTATATATTCATTATTCTGAGCACAAGGCAAGTATCTTGTATCCCAAGGTAGAGCTTTTGCCAGGTTTAAACATGAAGTCAGAAACCGGACTGAATCTCAAATCAAGCAATGAACGTTGCTCAAAGAACAGAGGAGGCTACAGAGATGTCAGCTCCAAACAGAAGATCAGTGTAAATTCAACTGTTTCGCCAAAAAAGAACTGTTGTTCTCTTAGGAATTTCAAATCTGAAACGTGACTTGCCTGTAAATGCAAGAGGAGATGCTACTCAGAAACCAGATATAAAGACAAAACTAAACTACTAGCCTTTAGGCTTTTATATGTTTATAGTGGCTTGATTATTTTTTTCACTACTGGTACATGCATCCTATATGTGATTAGCAGGTAGGTCGTGAATCTCCTGTTTAGCTTTATTTGACTAAAGTACATCATAGCATTCTGGTAAAAACATGGCTGGGTTTTCAATTGTAAGCAAAACATATGTTCCCCTGCACAGACTGTGACCGTTCAAACGGAATATGCAGTCTGTTTCACTTTGGATGATATGGGAGAGATTTCTCTGGGCTGAATGCGAATTGCGCATTGCTCCTTACCCGTGCCCTCGTCTACGCGCTCCCGGGACTCGTGCTGGCTTTGGTGCACCCATTCCCCGTTGCACTTGAAGAAGATCTGCAGGGCGGGAGCAGCCCGGCAGCGTAGCTTGATGGGGTTGCTCTTGATGATGTAGGCATCCTCCGGCTCCTGCACGAAGTGAGGGAGTGTCCCCGCCACGGAAGGAAGGGACTCTGGAAGTGCTTCACTGCCAGCTCCTGCAAAAAGTCAGCGGGTCAATGCACTGGGGCTTTTATAAACAAAAGCAAGTATTTATCCTCTTAGACAAAGTGACGTTTTGATGTATGGTAAGCTTGTTATCCTCTGGCCATGAACCAAGCCCATCAAAACATTCTGCCACCAAAGTGCTTCACAATAGATATGGTGTTGGCCTATTGGCCATATTAGATCTGGGTGATGGGTTTTATTGAGCTTATAAAGATCTGTATTTATACCAAATAAAATAATATTTAAAGTTATTCACTGGTAACATTGTAAAGTATCAAAAAAAATTGGCAAGAAGTCAACATGGCAATAGACACTTTAAAGACAAAGGCACAAAATACATTAGTATCGTTTTGGTGCTGTGACATTCATTATTTATCACATACAATACATTTATAAACAAAAAAAGTACAAATACAAAATTATATATATATATATGCATTAAAAATGTATCAATTTTTTCTTCAATCTGGAATTTTGTTGCAGGTACAGATTGTACTGTAAGTACCAACACACTTTCATACCCAATCCTCCCCAGATGAATGACATTCGCAGCAAATTTGTTGCCAAAAAATGGGCCATCCGAGGTATAGGTATTGCAAAGGAATGTTGAGGCTGGCAAATGGAAGGTTTATCCTGATGGTACCTCATGATAAGCTCATGGGGGAAATCTGGCCTACATACAGTATGGAGTCTCCTTCACTGAAAATGTGTTTGCGGCATCAGAAAAAGCACTCAAAGATCAAGATATTCACATTGGGCCTGGGCCTCATCAATCTCTATGACATAAATAAGGCAGCACTCTGATAAATATAGTAAATCAATAAAGTTTCTTCTTTATTTGTTATTTATATTTGTTACGCTGTCAAAGCTCATGTTCTGAATGTACCACAAGAGCCCTATTTGGTAAAGATATATGAGGAGGAAAAGAGTATTTGATTTGGAAGAGTTAACCAATGTGGACATTTCTACATAATAAAACCTGTTTGCACAAAACATCCTGCATTTGGGTCCCGGTATGAAACTGTGCACAAACAGGCTCTATTTTTCTCCTTCTTTTATCCTACGCCAATCATTTTTAGCTGACAGAGTAGTCAAGGAAAGCAAAGCTAACCCAATGATCCAAAGCAAGGGTATTCAACTAAAATTTAAGGTCCAGTTAGAGAAAATTTCTTGAGGCCAAGGTCTGGAAGATCATAATGTCTAACTATTTAGTGTGATATATATTTAAGTAGCATATTAGTTGTATCAACATTGCACGTAATCAATACCTGATTGTCAAGTCAAGTTAATTCAGTACAATTCAAAAACTTTTTTGACAATATTTATTGTCACGTGACAGAGAACTTCGGCCAGATGAGTGAGATTTTCAATTGGAGATGTCTGCACACATTTGTTCTTACCTTGTAAATAGTCTGCTTTTGTATTTAACCGTGTAAATACACTTATGATATTATTATGCTCATTTTAGGTTTATAATGGAATAATATAGATATTGAGTCTGTCATGCCAGATACTTGAGATTTGGCAACCCTGAAAACATACAATTTTTGTTTCACCTGAGTTGATTTATATAACAAGTAACATTATACAGTTGTTAAAAAGCGGAAACTTCAACGAAGTTGAACATGTTATATAATACATACTGTGTTTCAAAACTTTTCAGCTGTAGGATTTCAGGACAGAGCAGCCACTCTGTTAGGAACATCACGGCGTTTTGGTTGCGGGTTATACTGTAGCTTCGCTGCTGCTATTAACACTAACGGCACATTAGCGCAGACAAAGGGCTGTAAACGCGGAAATACGTCTTACTTGGCGGTCAAAGGCGTTTGACGTTGATTGGCGTGGGAAACGGCGGTTCTACTGCTAAACCACTGCCGAAAAGACTACAAAAGCCGCGCCGCATAAAATAGAAGCCCCTCGTCAGGTATTAAATCATAACTTTCTGTTGCGGCTATCGGTCCGGGTCCGTATGGGACAGCTTCTGGGTCCGGACCGTGGTCCGCCTAGTTGTTAGTGACTGATGATCTAATACACATAGTCCCAAGAGCCATTTTTCTGCTGACCTGAAAACTTGGAACGTGGTCAAATCAGGAATCCCTTATGAATGTATAAATAAAACACAGCTATGTTACTCAGCCTTTACTTTTTAGTTATTCTGTTCAAAATCAAATCTTAGAAAGGCTTTAAAAATGGATTTAAAAAAAAAGTTAATAAACATTATTTAAGATGTAGTTAAGTAGATATGGTATAAAAAGGTGGGTTGATTAATCATTAGCACAACTTTGCCTTTCAAACTTTAGAACCTCGTGAACTTTCTGGAGGGGAGACTGTGCCAACATTCTTTTCCCAAATATCATTGCCCGTTGAAAGATTTGGAGGAAACCACCTTACCTACATAATCCTCAGGTGAATGCTACTTCTTGCTGGGCTAATTCAGATTTTTTATTTTGAGTTTTTGAAGAAGACACCTTCTGGGGCAACATTCCCCCCCCATCGCTCACGGCCACACAAACTCATCCTCACTCACTGTGAAAGGAGCAATGACTGTACAAGTTAGTCTCCCTTCCAAGCACCACCGTTGAATTGTTCAATATAATATCAATATGTATAATAATTGATATACATGTCAAAAGGCATAACCTACAGACCAGAAGGCATGACTCAAGTTCCAGATAAAGCAAACGTATGGGGGCATATGGCAGTGAAATCGGTGAATATATCATTTTAAAGTTTTGAAGTGCTTATTTTCATCCTATTCCTTTTCAATAAAGAGTATTTCCTCATGCTACAAGTACATACAGACAGGGCTGTCAATGACATCAGTACAAAACATGACATCAATACATATGAAACTTAAAAAGAAAAAAAATGTTTACGGTCTGCCAAGTAATCACTAGATGCCATGAAATAGTATTTTTAAAGTATATCCAGCCTATTGTAAAGAGATCAGCATATCTAATCCAACCATTATTTACGCTGCAAAAAAAAGTCTACTTAAATCATCCACTTTTATTGCTCCAAATAAAGTCTGACCATATTTTATTACCTCGATAAAAATACTGTACGGCATTCGAACACGTTGCACTTCTGTTGTTTTCTTTAAATATCTAATGTAAAATAGGAGATATTTAGATGTTAACATTCATGAGATGCAAAGTTAGTATTCTAATCAGAGATGAAGCCTTCAACTTTGTTGCACAGTTTAAAAACAGTAAAATAAATTTGGACCAGTGTGGTTTGGAACCTGCGGATGATCAAATATGCAAAATTTCCAATTAGTTTTAGCACTTCGGCCATTTAAATATCTGAAATAAGAACATTGTGAGCAGAACAACAAATGTGGTGTTTGGAACCATTTATATCTACAAGGGTGATGCTGGTCCTTTGCCTAATCATTCATGCTAAGTCTTCTAAAAATGGTGAATGCAACTGGGGCTAATTATCATGGTCACAGTATTTCCTAGCCTCATCTTTCCATTTCCACCTGCTATTTGTAACAGGACGGTGGATGGATGTGTGTGATTCCTGGGAGAAGGACCAGGATTGGCAGTAACACAAACATGCTGAATAAGTTCTTATGTTTTCATCACCATGCATATATTTTCTTGCCAACCCTTGTCATGAGGAAATAAAGTAAAGGATGAATTGAAAGAGGCAGCCTCTGGTATTATGAAGAGATGAGTGGTGTCATGTTTAAAAGAGGAAGAGTAGGTGGCTCATTAATAAATAATTTGATCCCAAAATCCCAGAGACGGGAACATAATCCATACCCATGTAATCCATTACAATCCAATACACAGTTTGGTTTGTTCAAATACCCATGGACTATTCCTTTTCCAATGGCTTCAAATGGAAATTAACCACAAATTAATCACTTGTAGTACCGCCACAAACGACGGCAAGCTGCCAAGTGAGCCCCTGACTCCTGACTTCAGCAGGTAGAAGTGGGTCCAGTTAAAGGATCAATTCAGCCCAAAACTAAAAAAAAGACATGTTTTAGAGGGGCTTTAGTGCTGTCTGTCCATCTAGGTTGTTCTGCTGGGTGTCACCTTAGAAATGTCGGGCTTCTCTCGAACATAAGGGGAGTGAACGGCATTCTTTCTGTGGTGATTAAAGAGCCAGAAAAATACATTTGAAAAGTTCAACAGAAATGTCTCTTACCAGAAATCATGTTCCAGTTACTGAACATAATCCACAGACTTTGTAGTAAGAAGTAAAATTTACGGACTATTTTCTTCCACCGAACTCCACACACCAGTCATATCACTACACAGAAGATATCACCAGTGTGCTCATGCTTGTATCTTCTGTGCAGTATATATAAATACTTGAACTCGTGGCCATAAGTGGAAATTAGTGGGAGAACATTTTAAAACAAAATTGAGAAAGCACTTCTTTACACAGCGTGTAGTTAGAGTATGGAATAGTCTTCCTACTAGTGTAGCGCAAGCTAAAACCCTGGGTTCCTTTAAATCAGAGCTAGATAAGATTTTAACAACTCTGAGCTATTAGTTAAGTTCTCCCCAAACGAGCTTGATGGGCCGAATGGCCTCCTCTCGTTTGTAAATTTCTTATGTTCTTATACGATTGGGGTATTTGGTAGAAGAAAATAGTTCCTACATTAAACTCTTCACTACAAAGTATCGCTGTCAGTTTTGGAGTGAACTGCCCCTTTAAGCTCATTATTTCACCTTGCTTTTATTGCAGGTGTTTTACCCATTTATGTTCCATTTGCATTGTCAGAAAATAGCGCCATCTGTCTGGTTTTACTCTATCAAGGAATAGTAAAGGCAGCCACAGCAGTCAATTCTTACCCCCACAGAGAGGATTTATGATTTATGATTGGCAGGGCCCCCTAGAAATAGATATATAATGATTTGAATATGTGCAAAATTTTACTCTCATAGGTCATGAGTAATTGTTCAGTCAGCTCACCAGGAATATTTGTGTTCTCGCTGTCATGTTATATTCTTTGGGTCACTTTTCTATA